ATGCAATCTGTTCGTGTGGTTCAATAAACAGGCTTTAACAAATCACGCATTGTTATGCATTTAAAGTCAATAAGTATCTACTACTATTGTTATTGTTATTTTAACAATAATAAAAATTACCATTGGGATTATCATCAATTTGATAACTAACTATCTCATCACATCTCCCATTGTAGACCATTTCTATTTATTATTTTTTTACTCTTATTGAATAGTTTTCTTATGATATGCATTTATTGTAAATATTTTTGCATTGAAAATGTGAAAGATTATTATTACTATTATTGTTATTTTAATTATATATTTATTTATATCAAAGTATGAAATGTTAATATGAAGTTGTTTGCTACATTTTTCGAAAGGACTATTGCTCATTCGTTACGTAATTGTTGTGAGATTTTAAGAAATGTCAACAAATAAAATAATTTATTCATTTACTCCCTTTTGATTTATACAACTATTTGACTTTTGTGTTTTTGTATAACAATTTGTTTAATGGTATGATTATTATTATTATTATTATTATTATTATTATTATTATTATTATGTGGTTGCTCATTGTATCAATATACCCATACTCTTCAAGTTGCAATCATCTCCTAACTCGTTGGTTAATGATCTAAATAATGTGATCAATGGTAATAATAATAATAATAATAATAATAATAATGATAGTAATGACAATAATAATGATAATCATATACTACTATTCCCACTATTTCCATCTGCTCTGGCTATTGCCAATACCATTATCAATATTATCGGTTATTATTTATGAATGAGAATGCAAATTCACTTCAGAAGTTTTCATAAATAAGTGTTGAACAGATTTAAGCATAAAAACATTATTCATCTTAAAATTCAAGGAATTCACGACATCTTGAAAGATCGTTTTCGCTTTATTTAAGTAACAACCGATTTAACAGTATAAACAAATCAAACCTATTATTAACATATGTAAAGTTGTAGTATTCTATATCATCTTTCATTTTGCATAGCGCTTAAGAACATTTACAACAGCTAATAGAGATCAACAATTTTCTTAAATAACTCCTTGTTACTCGTTATACTCTTCTTAATTCTGGTTATATGTTATGTGTAATGTCTTGATAATGAGAGCATTTTATATTTTTCAAACATTAATGCTTAGGTTCTAACTCAACTGTTGTTCAACTGAGTTTTGTAGTTGAGTAATATCATTAGACTTCATAATGAAAGTTCACTATGTACTCATCTGTATTTCATATGTTAGTGAGATAATACTATATTGTTAGTGTATCCGTCTACATGACATAAAAATATTATCTCTTCGGTTTAATGAGTGAGTTAACAATTTTATGTTTATTGTAATAAAACAATGATCAACTTGTTTTGTATTCATCATTTTACATCATTCAAATTTTTTTTATTCATTTTTGCAACTTGAATGAACAAACATTTTAGTTGCAATTCACAACTATGCCTACAAATAAAATTATTCAATGTATCAATTCAATAAGAAAAAAAAACACTTGATACTTTTTCTTTATACCTTCAATAAACTGACATAATCTCTGTGATAGGCAGAAGTTTTTTTTCAGTCAAATAAAAAAAGTAAATTCCCCTTGATATCTTATGTAACATAAACGCATATATAAATGATTGTAATTATAACTCAACTCTTTAACCTACTGAATATTAAGTTGTTTGAAATACTTGAAATATTACAACTTCTCCTTCCCCCCCTACTCATAGGTATATATATATATATGTACACTCACCGTAACATGTTTCTCTTCAATAACTCACAAACTGATACACCTCATGACATTAAAAAAAACACGAAGAATGATCATTATCATGATGAAATTTTTGGTAATAAACTTTGATTTCATTAATCATAGAAACATGATGTGTGTGTTTTTTCGCTTAATTGTGTTATATTATGTAAAAAAATTTTTTATCAAGACAGATGGTTTCCCCACTGTAATGTTAACAGTTTATGATTTGAGTATTAAAGTGTTTGTTTCCCTTATTCTTTTTATCATCAATCATCATATTTCTCCCCTCTTTACTAACTGGGGAGATTTCTTGTTTTTTAGTTTTACCCAATTCATTTGTTTTCAGTACGTCTTCACATTTAACTGATTACTTCATTTGTGTATGTAATCAATAATATTTATCGGGAATAGCACCTGCTATCTAGTTACAAAACAATGTTTTTTTCAGTTTCTTTTAGAGACGCTATTTTTTTTCTATTTGATGTATAATAATTCAAGTTACTAATACTGGCAGGTGCCAATAGAATATCGAGGATGTAATACAGTCGATTAAATATTCTGTAGTTTAGCAAAAAGAAAAAAAGAAGGAAAATTAACCTAAACAATTCCGTTGAGATTTATTATATTAAAATGACCTCTTGTTTAGTATTCTTGTTGGTAAATTTTTTCTTACGCTTACTCTTACAACAATGGAAATAAAATAATTAATCCACAAGAATGATTTCAGTATTATTATTATTATTATTATAGTTGATATTCACACATGCTAACCTATTCAATCGTTATGATCACTTCTACATGGTGTTTACCGTTTAAAGTTCTATCATTATTTTTTTCTCGAAACTACTTTTATGGATAATTATTAGTTAATAAAACTTGATTTAATTAATATTTAATAATTCAAAGTTACATTTCACAAAAAATTAATCTAATAATCATAGTAATCAATCAATTTCATTTAGACAAACCAAAAAAAACAAGTATTTTGAACGAGTTCATTCAAATGAAATCAACTCAAGTTTTAATGCTTAACCTTGACTAATATTTTAATAATAAATTTTATAATATACATGATAAGACAAAACATATTTTTTGTGTTATGATAGTAAGTTGGAAGAAAACCAAAGAAAGCTAAACTAAGAAGTGATCGATTATTAGAATGAGTTATGCTGATAGGTACAGATCACCGGGTAGGGATTCGACACTCATGGCGACCAATGACTTAGGACTTTCTATATCATAGTTCAGAATTAATAACTATGGTATCAGTGCAACCATTGTTTGTCCCGTACTTCTTAGAAACGTATATTCATTCTTTTTACTCGCATCGTATTGTTTATGCTACTCACACTATTGCTACTATCAATGATAATGTCACTAGTTCTGCTACTTTAGTATTTCTCCTAATAATTTCCTCTCACTGTGTTGATATAAATAAATAATTTTTTATTTTACTAAGATTTCTTTGGTAGGAAAATTTGTACAGCTTTGAATAAAGTATTCATTAGGAACTAAAGTTAACTGAACAGACTTTTTTTCCCTTGTTTAAGCTACAAGGAGATCAACACAACACCACATCAACACAGAATTAATATGAAGGACTTCAGGTTTTATTTTTAGACTGTTGAGCTATCATGCAATCTTTAGTAAGCCCATGATATACTGTAGGTTCGTTAACTAATGTTCGCTGTGAATTTCTATTCCATCGTCAAATCTTAGATTTATCATTTACTAATCTTTTGTGTAAACTTGACTAGCACTACGTTTTGGGCATTAATACATTATCTAAGTTTATTTGTTAGACTATTTTCGTTCTTAGTAGAAAATAAACTGATCATGCAAAAAGATATCCGAACAAAAAGAATAGAATAGATTTATTCACCATTATGTGAAGTAGCTCAACATTTTTTATTTTTTGTATTTAACGAATGGCAGTTGAGATAGGAAACAATGTAAACTTGAGTAAATATTTCGTTTTTGTGTTCATTCACCGATAAGTTGTAGTTAACGATTGGGATATTACTGTTTTCTTATTGACTGGGATCGATATCATTCATCTATTTATCATGAAGTGATTGAAGTTAGACATTAATGCTGTTAGATGCCAACTCAGTAGATTATAAGTTAAGTGTTCGTGAGCGAGACCGATAATCCTGTATTCAATTCCCTTCAGTGAGACCATGGATATTCACTTTTAAGCAGTCTTATATTAGAACAAAACAACCTTTCAATGTCTCAGAGCCTTCAATAGTGGTCTAAATAGGGTCAGTTTGTAATTTGAAAACTGAATAAATAATACAATGTTAACCTAAGCCGGAATTCATTTAATCATATTAGAGAATTAGTGTTGATTTCCACTAACAGCTTAACTTTGACAATTGAATATTACTGAATAAAGTGTGTTTAAATTGATTAAAATATTGTGTAATTAATTGTTTTAACTATTTTGCAAATAAATGATAAGAAATTGTACGCTAAGATTAGATGATTAGCTTCATGATGAATTACAGAAATTTTAATAAATAAAAAAAACCTGAACACATAAATAAGAACAGTTATTATCATTTATACTTCATAATCGTATTATGAATTTACTGAAATTTAAAATGTATGTCATTGAATTTTAATTTATCGCAAGACACGAATGATTTAAACTCGATTGGATTTAATGTTTCTTGATAAATAAAAATAGCTGAAATGGCATCAATCTATATTATGGATCGCTTAAATTAATTAATAATGATTTACAATATCATTGAAATCATTAGTCGATTAATGGTAGACTACTATTGAAAACCTGGAAGCACTGAACGGCTGTTATGTCCTAGTTTGTGACTGGCCAGCAGTGAGCATCCTTAACCCCAAGATCGAGAATTGGGCCCAGAACTTTCTATCTCGCTTGCGAACGTTTAACCTCTAGACCATTGGGCCGGCATCCAACGAAGTTGGTGCTTAGTTCTAATCAATTCCCAGTATTACTCTACCTCACCGATTGTCTTCGGTGAGTAAGCGCCTCACGCTCAACAGGGTTGAACTCCACTGGTCACGGCTTTTCATTACAGCTCGGAGAATTTTTTCGCGAAGCCAGTCATCAGTTACCAGTTTTGATCAAATCACGATTTCAATGAAACTCAACAATCCCCATAACCTTATAGTTAAAATCATTTAAAGTATACTTATGCCAGTAATGACAATAATAATAATAATAATATTATCGATAGAAAGAATAAGCCTACTTACTTTCTTCAAGTGATGATTGTAGTGGTGTAAATTGAATTGTTTCATCAAAATGTGAATTATCTAATTGATTGAAGTTTTCTAATTGAATTAATGATGCTTTATTATTATTAGGCATCATATTATAATTCAGTTTATTAGTATTATTATTATTATTATTATTATTACACTGTATTGTTGACATTACATTCTTATTCTTATTATTGTTATTTTGATAATATTGTTGATAGAATAAGAATTCAGTTAATTGATCTAATGATTGAATAAATGGGGTATCGTTTAAATTTGATAACTTCATTTCATGATTTGAATTAATTAATGATGGTATAAATGGTTGACCATTATGCGGATGACTGTCGTAAGGTTGTGGATATGAATGATGACAGAGTTCTGGTTGGGAATCGGTGGAATTAGATTTCAATGATGCATTATTATTGTTAGACAATGCAATAAAATGTTGAGCTAATTTACCAGCTAATTGAATTGTTGATTGTAAATCTGTAATATTCATTTTTGTACTTTGTAGCTGGGCATTAATTTGTTCATGAATACTAGCAGTGTTTTGATGATAATATAAATCATTGGGAAATGTAGAATTACTGAATGATTGTTTCGGTGATGATTGTGTAATATTGACTTGTTCTTTCATAAAATCCATAATTGGTGAAGGTGTTCTAAATGCACTTGTTCCATGACTAGTTATACTGTTACTGTTAACATTATTAGTAGTAAGCATGATATCATTTGCTGTGATCGCATCTGCTCCATTCATTGAAGTATAATTTGGAAGACGCGAAAATAGTTTGTACAATGGATTGTTACTATTATTATTATTATTATCATTAATAGTATGATTACTGATGTTCATGTTGACACCCGCAAATTTGTTGGTTGAGAAGTCAGAATCTATATAAATACTGGAAGAATTGTCATGCAGTATATTCATTTTCTGATCGTGAATTATATCTTTGTTCAAGTGTCTTAGTAGTTGTACAACCATTTTTATATGAAATGTACGGTCATGGAATATATAACAGTCATAACAAAATATAGACAATTAAAGTCATGCATATTATTAACAATGTTATTATCATCACCATCACCCCTAGCTTCCTGTCTTATCTTATTTGCTGATTTCAATAAACTTGTAACACCATTTAACTTCATTGGTCCAAGTTGTCGCACAACTCTTCGTATCTCCCTCTTATCGTCTTCACTTAACTTATTGAAACACACAAGTTGTTGCCCATTTTTCAACAAGCCGCAAAGAATCTATTCAACTTAGGCATACATCAGAAAGCAACTAGGGAATAGAGAGGAAATACAAACAAACATGATATTTTCGAGTGTCATTACTTCTATAAGGGTAGAAAAAATTTGGCCTACTCCTAACAAAAGTAACCAACCAGCTATGAATGAATAAAATTACTTGAATATGATTGGTAGGATTTATAATTCACATACAATTGCGCTTATGAAAAACAGGTGATAAATTGATATTTCAACTAAAACAAGTCACATTATTATGCACAAACTATGTAATTAATTAGTGTGAGTAATACCATCCACCAAAAATGTTTTGAGTAAGAATAATTTTTTAGATTTGATTTTACTTCACTGAATATCACACAACAAAAATCATATATAGTAAATCAATAGAATTCATATTATTTGAAATAGTTTTAGAAATATTGAAATTATTTTCACATGATAGCAATAGACGCTTGGTTTGTGCTCATCAAGTGACTGGGATAGTTATTTTTCGACCAACCTACACTGAATGTTTATCAAACGCTGTCAAATTATTGCTTACTGGTTCCACCATAGTTTCGTTCACTCTGGAATAAATGAACATCACTGTTTATTTCCTAAATAAAACAAAAGCGTGTATTATTGAAAACTTCTAAATCAGAACGTTAAATCTGTCGGTTTGCTTCCTGTTTTCAAATGATATTAACGATAAGTATCATCTTACTAGAAATTACAGTTTCATACATTTTTTTATAGATTACTCTCATTATTATTATTATTGCCATTATTATCATTACTGTATCACAACCTAATAATTAAATGTCATTCAATAAATAATTTAAGGATCTTACTGTGAAGTAAGAATTTAGTTTATGATTTCTAGAGTTCAAGTGATATGTTAATACATTGTTTAATTTTTTTTAAAGGACTAATTGATTCAAAGATTACCCAAGTTATAAGTGTAATCTTGCATCAATAATCAAGTCTATTTATGACCGAAATAAATCATTGAACTTAGAATATTTTTTCCACTCACAATAATTTTCAACTAGTTGTATCGGCAACACATAGCTAAAAAGCAATTTACTAAAGGTTCGTTTCAATTACTGAATTATTTGAATTTTGAAACATTTTTTTGTTTGAATCTGACAGGTCATCGATTAATAATATGTATTTTGTAGATAAGTTAATTATACAGATAGTTATAAGTTTATTAGTTAAATATTGTATAATGAGTTATATGTCTGAAATGTGTAACAGTAAACAATTTATTTCCTGATTGGTATTTTCAGTTTTTCCTAAATTCCAGTTATAAGTACCGTGCTCTACCAACTCTGTTACAAAACTAATTTATATAGCTGATAGGCTACATAAATTTCTAAATTCCCAAATCACTAATCAGACATTAGAAAACAAACATACCAAACACTTTGTATTGCTAATCTTATGTAATCATGTTTTATGTGATTACATTCATTCAATAGAATGTTAAACTATGAAGCAATACATGGTAGTATAGAGCAACAGAGATATCAATCAAACATTTTATAAATGTAATTCGAAGTAACAGACTTTTATTTCACTGAATGTGATTTGTGAACAACAAAATGTAATGGTAAACTGAAATTAAAACAATATACATGAAAACTTCTGTAAGATAACAGAACATCCAAATTAAATAATGGTTATTATCTAAATCCCATATACACTTCTCTTTATTCAATGTTTCTTCACAGAGTAAAAGCGGATTTTAAATGGTTTTTGATCTTATTGACAATTATTAGCTTGTTCAATTGATCAACATCATTATCATCAGTTGAATTTTCTGCTTCGTATTTTGAATTTATTGTTAACATTGGGTACTGAAAAAATCACCTTTTATTATCATGAATTTTTTTAAATATAACGCTAGATTTATCATATGATGATTCATATATATTATGAATTTATATAGTGACATTTGTGAATGGATTTAGTAAAATCATTGTTGATGAAATGACTGATGTTGTTTAAAATGAAACCGAAGAAATCAATAAATAGATGGAATCTGTTACATTTTATTCTATGACTACCACGACTGCTAACACAATCTGTACATGATTATTTCATTTTTGCGAAAGAACTGTTTTTTTACTTTTTGTGATTTTCAACTTGTTTTCAGTAAGTGATCTCTGTCCATATTTATCAACTGTGAAGACAGAAAGAAGAAAGATATCGCTTGAAATGCCTCCAATATATGATTATGTAGATCACATGAATTATTCAGCAGTAGTACATTGGAGAATATCAACAGTGGTAATTAGGCTTACGTTGAACATTTCAAGTTATGCTGTTTCTGATGGCAATTAAAAAATATTTACTGTCTTTTAAACTTTCGCCCTCACCTAAAAATCTTAGACCTATTCTTAATCTCACACTGAGTCAACCAAGTTATGAATTAAACATTTGATAAGAGATTAATGGTCCCGATCAAGAAATCAATTTCTCGAATGTCATGTCTGCTCAAATCAGTTTACGGAAAGAATGATTGGGGTGATTTTACCTGAATATTGATCAATAGAATTTGATCAACCCTGAAGGACTGGTTAAAAATGAAACTAGTTACTATTTAGTAATCAAAATGAAATTTCGAAAGATGAACAATTTTATGATTGAATTGCTGAAGAAAAAGCATGGAGTTAGTATCTCCTTTCAGCTCTATACTCAGTGTAAGGAAGTTCAAAAATTATTTAAATTATTTTTATTCGTACGGTTAACTCCAAAAATTGAACTGTCAAGGGTGCTATATTCTTGGACATATCATATTATCTTTCGAATTGTATTTCACAGATTTAAATAATTCTCTAATCGCTGTCCAACTCTTACTCAAGAGTTTATTGTGAATTACGAAAATATATTTACATTTGTTGTTTTTTTCAACCTGAAATTTAAAATGAATGAAAAAAAGGGTTATTTCTAAATTTTGAAGTCTCACATCATAGTATAGATTCTGGTGAACAAATGTCATTTGCATTAAGAAAGATTTTCATTTTAAATCTGATAGCACTGGTTGGCTGTTTCGTCCCAGTAATGGACTCCTCAACAGTGCGCATCTAGGACCCTACAACTGGAAATTCAATCCAAGACATTCGGTTTCGAGCACTAACAGTTTAAACCCATAGCGGTATTAAAATATAACAGCGAGTCCTTAATTACATTGCTCATTCCTTATCGATTGCCCTTAGTGCATATCCACCAAATTCTTGATACGCATTAGAATCCACCGGTTATTACTTCTCACCAGAACTCTTTAAATTATTCAGCCACTAGTGAGCACATGGTCGTTGTTAGTTTAAAGGCGATTCGTGGAAATCTCAAAGTCAGTTCATGATATGAACTATGGAAATTCTGCAGTCATTTCGTGATTAAACTGAACATTGTTCAACTGTCATTGACTAAGGTCGATTTATAATAAACACACCATACTACTTACAAGTAGTTTGTTTACCGTCTTTTTGAAATTTTGGTAGCATAGATATTTGGTGATGACAGGTTTTCTTAACTGAACGAATTGATTGTAAAGCATTACTTCCCTTCACACTATCCACGTAACTAACAAAAACTTCTTTATTTCTATGTTGATAATATTGTTTAATAGTATAAAGAACGTTTCATCAATAAACCGACCAGCTTAAAGTAGACGGCTATTCCATTTGTATCATTTTCCCAAACAGCAAATCTTCACAATCTCAGTAATTCAAAATATAGATCTTATATTTTCTTATGAACAAACTTGGAAGGATGAATTAACTGCAAACTACACCTTCTAACGTGGTATTTTACAATCTATTAAAAATGCATGTTACCAGGACGCTTGTCAAAATTATGAAATTATTTTGACATATTATTCGTAAAATCATTAGAGAAAAATTACCGTAATCATTTAGTATTTAAACAGTAACCTCACTTGTTAATGTAAGCGTTTTTTTAAGAAATAAAGGCCAAGTATACTACTAATATACATACTGATAGTTTCATCTATCACAACCGTAAAAATGGTTGACACAGATCGAGTAATTCTAGTGACATTTTCAAATTATCCAAATAATCTAGACGTGATACGTTTTGGAAATTCGCCTTAAACATTTTAATTTATAGTTAACATTTCCATCTTGGAACATATTTGGCTGCTAACAAACTTTTGGAAGTAAGAAATTTGATTGCCAACAACGTCATTCATACATAGGTATCGTCAAGTTCACTAGATTGGTTGTTCAAATCTTTCTAATGACCAGTCTCTTTGGCGTATATGCATCCTGTGAGGCTCGCCTTGTTATTGCTCTAGGTCGCAATCATTATTAGCAGAGTTGGATAGTGGCTAGCAATGGAATCTAGGACATACGTCTTATTCTATTGGGGATTCGTCGGCTGGATAGTAGGGTGGAGTTTGAAGTGATCGGTACTTGGTTTGAATCCCTGGAGTTAACATCAACTCTGTGATACAGGTACATCCAGCCACTGGTTCCAAATAGGACGAAATGCATACTGTATTCCACTACTAGCCACTATTCACTTCTGCTAGTATAAGTATGGTTTGCTTACGAGTGGTTTGAATCGACTATATATAGTTTACATTAC